CTGCCCGCGACTATGTCTCCATAGAACGAACTGATTCTACTATTGAAGCCTATTACTTACTTGAGAAATGATTGAGTAGTAAAGGATTTTTTAACAAGAACTTTGTTTTGTAAATCAAAATAAAATAATAAATTTAGATGACAATGATTCAAATTTTTATTGTAGTAAAAAAAGTAAGGTTTGGCAATTATGAATGAGAAATGATATCTGATAAATGTCCACCACGACCACAGTTACATGTGTCGATTCTTTCGTAAAGGTTTTTAATCACTTTTTGACAAAATGGTGGGTCTATTTCGTTAATTACTTCACGAATTTAAAGTTTTGATGCTGCAATCGATTCGATTGTCTCCGTATAGACTCTGTTTTTAACATAACCACATAAAAATAATCCAGCGGTGGCAAATCACATGATTTCGTGAAATTATGCGTACGGGAAATTTCATTTGCAATAATTCACTGTTTCGGTGGCTGTGTGATTTGTCCAATTTGAAAGATAGATGGCGTTGTACCCTCGGGAAAATGTGCGAGGTTCACATCCTTATGTCAGAGCGTGACGGACTATGGCCTAAACCCTGGGACTGTGGGACGTATAAATGTGTTGATGATGATGTATATGTGTTTTATCATACAAATATCCGATGGCCAGGGCCATCAATGCAAACCAAATAAATGATAATAACTGCTTGATGACTAATAATATTAAAACCATCTTAGTCAACCATGACCATGTTTGTGACCTGTAAAGAGTCCGAAGCGTTGGTTTGTTTGAAAAAACGGATGTTCCAGATCGAGTGGTGAAAAATATGTGCAATAGGAGGTCATATTACCTATTCAATAATTTATTTATCTATAAAGGAAGACCAACAGCTTAAACTGATTTGAATAATAATAGCTCCTAGCCGGAATTACAATTCTATTAAATAGATCCAGATCAAAAGTATTACTTAGAATGTAAAATTATTGCTTGCTTGTAATAGTTAATATTTGGGCTGTCCTTAGCATTATAGAACTTATTGGCGTATTTATGAAATCTCAGTTTTTATTTGAATTTATGATATTGTGAAGACACTATTCGACACAGAGTGCTTGCTCTTTGGACTGATAATTTTTAGATAGTCTAGAAAAGGGATAAGATTGTAATTTACCAAGTCAAATAATAATTTTATTCCATAGGTAAAATTTTTACACTTGAAAACGTGACGTTTTGAACTACTTTTTAAGCTACTGCTTGTTTACTACGCTGATCTCCCTGAGAAGGACGAGCAAGAAACTCTAGGGATTGCTCTTTTCAAATAAATTTTAATGCTACACTTTGAATCGTAATTGTGTGGAATTTAGACTCTTGTTGTCTTTTCATACTTCTTTATCTAAAACATACTCGTCAATTTTGTAGCATGACTTTTCAATTAAAATACTTTTAATGTAAGTTTCAAACTTAGGAAATGTTAATCTTAATATATTCTCCGGAATCTTATTGTAAAAACGTATACAGTTCCCCAGTGTGTTAAAACCTTCCTTTTTTTAAATAATATTAAGTGACGGGACGAATAAAAACCGTGCCTGATGGTAAGCTATTACACGCCTGTCCATAACAGTTGCAGTGCCACTCAGAGTTTTAAATCGCAAAAGTCTGAAGGGCACTTCCACTGCACCCGTCACTCCGAGACTTAAGTTGACAAGTTTCATGTGTACTTTTACTAGTAGTGGTTGAAAATGCTAGAGAATTATTTTATTTATTTCATTGTAGACACTGGAATGTCTGCAACACACAATTCATCATACAGTGTTTAAATGATCTTTTTTTTTATAATATCAAGTGACGGAACGAACATGTGCGTCTGATGGTAAGCTACACGCCTGTTCATAACAGTGGCAGTGTCACTCAGAGCTTTGAATCGCAAATATCTGAGGGGCACTTCCATTGCGCCCGTCACCCTGAGACATAAGTTGACAAGTCCCATGTGTCTGTAATGCTGAAGTACTGCTTAATATAGAAACTGCAGAAATAGGTAAGGTGACAGTACCATCCTGGACGAACTCTTTCACAAGGCTCTCTACTGCTACCTTTTGACTTAGTTTTTTTACCAACGGGATGAAAAAATGTACCTACGGGCTAGTTCGAGCACATTCATGTGTAAAAAGCCTTACCTAGTCTATCTTTTAACCATGGCAAGTATATTCAAAATAGTGATGAAAACTACCAGTGTTATCAATGTTATAATAATTTTAACACACCACCTAAAAAATTGCCAGACGTCTTCGCTACTTCCTGTTGACCGTTATCAGTGTTTGTAGTAATTAGTTATATCTACTGAGAGATAAGTTTGAAGAATTTAATATTCTAACACTGGCGTCACAATACATGTATGAAAATGTAATTTATGTTCATATTCAATTTATGTAGTTAATGTATGAAAAATAGTGACATTCATAACATTAATACGAGGAATAAAAATAAACTAGCTGTTCTTGATAATCGTCTTCACAAAGTCGCTAATTCATTTAAGGGGCAATTGTAACGCTATAAGATTCCGGTTGATATTCAAAATTTGTCATTTACGCGGTTTAAAACCATTATGAAACAAAATAAAGGTTATTGCACAGCTTCTGCATACTTGGATGACAAAAATCCGTAATAGTGACCCGGTTATCTCGATCTGTGTGATGTTTGAAATAAATTTCGTTAATGATTTATGTTTATTTAAAAAAAGAGCAACACCTAGAGTTTCTTGCTCTTTCTTCTCAGGGGAATCTGCTTTACGAATAAGGAGTAGAGTTTTATCAGTATGACGATTTCAAGTTTAATTTGCTTACTAAAGATATAACGAAAAAAATTAACAACAGAAGTATGCATGTAATAAATATGAATAATAACATAATATTTATGAAATGCAACGCTAGAAACACAATTTGTTGCAGCGTATATCGCGTACAGAGAATTGGTCTTGATTCCAGCACTAGGCTTAGCCTGTCTCGCAGGTAATCAATGTTTCCTTGTAATAAGGTGTACCAGATTCTCATGGCATTAAAATATTAGAAAATTTTTATTTTATTGGATGTTACAAAACAGTTTGCATTCAGTGGAAAGTGTTGACATACAATTTATAGTCTTAATCTAGAACGTAGACCTAATACTTGTACATACAGCGTTATTATGCGAAATGTAAACATATTTGCATTTTGGATTACAAAAAAAAGGAAAAAGTGAGATAACAACTTAAAACTAATGCAACGAAAGACTAACATAGATATTAATTTGGCAGTACCACGTGACTGTGGGCAGTACTAATGAGAAGACGAGTTGAAATATTTATAATAGTTGAGGAGATTGGTACCTACGAATTCGACAAAGATTGTTATTTACGATTGTGTAATTGCCATTTTCGGTTCGCATCCCAGTGGACAGACACCCAGTATTTAAAAATATAGCTGTCGAAGGACGTGTCTCAGGATTGCATTATCAGATGCAAGCACTCTTGTACAAAATGAGGCCACTCTCGCTCGTAACATAGCGTAAAAGTCCGGAATGCGTGCTTCCGCAAACATGCTCGCCGCACTGCAAAATCTAGGCAGCTGCACCAGGATACGGAACGCGTCATTATATTGAACACTTAGGTTGTTGTAAGAATACCTAGTGACGCTGGTCCACAGCTGACACGCATTGGCAATAAGCCCTAAACAAGGTCACCTTGACTTGATTATTGCATTTCGCAAACCTGCGCGCAAGCATGTTGCTTCTTACAAATAAGGCATGCCGTTCTCGTTCTATATCTAAATCATCGTGACAGTCGTCTGTAAGAACATGGCCCAACTCCTTACTAGAAAACCGTTCAGGAAAACATTCGGAACCTTCTCCGGGCTCCTTCTAGCCCAGAAGACCATCATCTCTGTCTTTGCGGCATTGTATTTCAATCCATGAACCCTAGCATAGCCAACACAACAGCATAACCAGCCCGAATTCGAAACAATTGACGGGCGTCGTCAAGTGTTTTACTTCAAATCGGCCAGTTAAATTTGAGCTTTACTATAATGGACGAAAATTACAAAATTACATATTTAATGTTTAATTGCCGATGAAATGTGATTCCGTTTGTTTTATAATTAGATGTTTTGCTGTTTTTGCCCACACCACTGAATGGAACAGCCCCCATTGTTAGAGATATTATCTTTATTACTATAAATACAGAATATTTTTTGGATATACGGAGACGTACACACAGGTCAATTGTTGGCGCTGTACTATTTCAGTTTTCTAATTTGTGATTTCAGTGCAAACGAGAGTTGATATTATATTGACATTTGCATGATGAGTTGCCAGAAATGGATGGCCCTTTTTCGTCTCTATTTCTGGTTATATACTCGATGACTATAATAGTTTCATTCTCAAGTTACATGACTTTGTTGGAAAAGTTGTTTCTGTGAACTACTTTAGTTACATACTTAGCAATAGGATTTTTATTGCACCACATAAAGTTCATGATCTTAAAAAATAAAACAATATTAGTCCGTATTATGCTTACGATACCCGGCAAGGGCACAGTAAGAAGGGCAGATGGTATTTGCTAAAAACATATGACTGTAGCAATCAATCTTAATTTACTTAAACATGCTAACTGATAGCCATATTAACTAATTAACTAACTATATTATTGTTTACTGTTTTCTTTAGTCATTATTTATAATATCACCCTAAGCCTTCATGTACATCATAACGTACTAAACATATGAAGTATTAAGACCCGGTCTATATTCTTCCCATGATTACGTAAACGCCCAGTGTGCAGGGTTAAGAGCACGTCATGCTTGACACTTAAGACTTAAATCAACCAACTCTATGCCGCTTACGATAACAACGGTCCAAAGTGCAAAGTGTCGAGCTTGACGTGCTCTTGACTGTACCTCAATAGTGGTTCCACTTAAATTTGAAGATAATATTCCACCCACCCTTAGAGGGTCGCAAACTAGGGGATGAATCCGGTATCGCGTACTATCCAGTAACTGGTTTCAATAAAACTTGACAAATACCTACAGGTAATTCCATGAACTTTTCAGGTCGGTTTTTTTAGTACTCTGCATTGAGATTATTTAATAAACTTGTTATTGAATATCGTTAGAAAAATCTATTTGCTGAAATTACCCTGTGAGGTGGCTTAGTTGGCATAGCGTCTGGCACGGTATGCTAGAAGATGTCGGTTCGAATCCGGCCGGATCGAAGGAATTTTTTCTAAATGTTTGATCTTTGTATTAATAATTGTAACAAACTAGCGGAGTAATTTCACAAAAAATAATTGAATATCAATTTAATACAAATTTAAACACAATTACTTTGACTCAGGTTTATTTCCTTCACAGGTACCAATGTATGGTCTTGGTGCTAACGTACATAACGTATATGACGTTTCATCTCACACGCAAACCGATATCAGTAGTAAAAAGCGTACTGCACCGAAACTGCAGCGAATTGCCCCCACCGGTGCCCCCATACGACCCAAAAGATGACCAGTGGTGCAATTGGGCTCCATTCAGTAAGTATTATTTTAATTATATCATTTATATTTGTACTTATTTTAATTCGCGTCCACATTTTTTATTTTCTTTTTAAATCGGCCACTCCGATAAGGGTCCACTCAAAACCAGCGCTGTGGCTCCGCTCCGCCGCCGCAGTATTTTTCTTTCTTTCTTTTGTAAGGTTGTGTCCCTAAATTAATATCTACATACATATCCATTATAATTACAAACATTGTCACATAAATCTTTAAATGTCATTCATTACAATTTTCCTATTCATGAATGTTGTGATGAGAGAGAGAGATGATGATGGTGTGTGGAGTGACTAGAAAGAATAAGATAAGGAATGGGTACATCAGGAGAAGTTTGAAAGTGGCGTCAGTGACGGAAAAGATTAGGAGTAATAGGTTAACGTGGTATGGATATGTCATGCGGAGGGAACATTGTCTTGTGACGAGAAGAGTCTTAGCCATGAATGTGGAGGGGTATAAGGGGAAAGGGAGGTCAAAGAAAAGATGGATGGATTGTCTGAAAGATGACATGGGTAAGAAAGGTCTGAGTATTGGAAATGCCGGCTGATAGGGGAGATTGGAAGAAAAATACATGTTGTGCCGACCCCACCTAGTGTGGAGGACAGGAAGAAGATTATAATAATTATTATTCAAGTATTTCATTTACACTATAATATATTCCTTCTGTCAACCATTCTTTTAATAAACACCTAAACTTGTTTAATGACTGTGCTTTTAGTGTATCAGGCAAACTATTATACAATTTGACACACATTGCTTTACATTTAGTGTCTATAGCAATGAATGATACAAATTAGGATTGGTGCTATTGGGTTAATAATATACAAGATAAAAATCATCATGAGTTTTTTTGCGATTGAATTTTAATCATTACTACTTACCCATCTCTTGTTGATAAATTATCTAGATACATACATTCTTTCACTTGCTTTTCGTTACTTATCTTTACAATTATTGAAGATATCTACTTTTCATTTTGCAGATACGGACGACGCGAACACATTGCTGGGCATGTTGGATTCTGCATTTCTGTTCTCTTACGCCGGCGCCATGTTTGTTTCCGGTCAGTCAAAAAATCGTCATAATGGTTATCTAGCAGAAGTATATGGTTTGGAGTGTCGATGGAGTCAATTACTCCATCATGGCGTGTTTACACAGGGTCGACTTCGCCTTGCCGAAGGAGGCGCAGTCGAATCGCTGTTTACACCGAATCGATTGCCGCGTTTACGGCAAACGAATTCGGCTGACGAAGGCGGCACAATCGACATGCTGTTTACACCAAGTCGACTGCGACCTTTGCCGAAATCACCAGGGCATTATCATCATCATTTTAAATGCAAGTTTATGCACAGAGCCACTACAAATCGTTCAACAAACTGATTGGGTAGGTAGGTATTTCCAGGCCAGCAGCACGCGCGCTCGTCATGGCGAGACGCGGTCGTCAGACACGTTGAAGCTTGTTTGGTCGACGGTCGATTGCTAAAGGCGTCTGAGTGGTTACACCTTGTCGACTCGGTCGACTTCTTTAGGCTAGCGAAGGTTATCTGTCGAACTAGCGTCAACGCACCATCACAATTACGATGTTTATTCTTATTGTTATTTTTTATGACCAGGTATGGTGGCAGAGCGTGTGGACCTCCGTTACTTCCTTTCTTTGGGCATGATGGTGTCGGCCGTCTTCTGTTATCTCTTCGGACTCGGATACACTCTCGGGATACATTCTATAGCTTACTACCTCTTGGTGCAGGTTTGTGTCGGAACTCAGCTTTGGACTTGGAACTTGACACTTTCGTTATGTTAAACTTGACGTGCTCAGTGTGTCAACCTTGATGTGCTCATATGTCAATTTTGATGTGCTCATTATGTCAACTTTGATGACCAATGTGTCAAGTTTGGTGTGCTTAATGTGACAGCCTTGATATGTTCAATGCTTAGACTATGGAAACCAAAGGACATATTATATTGACTCATATATAAATCAGACGTTATATGTATATGATGCATTTAGACATAAACAACACATATATATACAATATTGTCCTTGTTTAACTACTGCGTGCCATCGTAAGCCAAAAGAGATAGCACTATATTGATTTAAGTCAAACACGGGAATCTAAAATACGTAACGTCATCTTAAATACGGGAATCTAAAATACGTAACGTCATCTTAAATGCCAACTGTCCTCATTTTACCATTTTGGGTATTTTACCATTTTGGCTTTTACATCCGTATCCGGTTGTCAAAGGGAAGTACATGAAATGTCAAAACCAATGTTTGGCCAAATGTTTTATTGAATTATTCGCACGACTTGTAATAAATTTGGACAAAAATGTGAGACAGTGAGAACAAGTAAGTAGTGATTAAAATGCGGCATTAAGGGGTGCGGCAGTAGAAAAGGCGGAAATCAACCGAATGTTACATTACATTTTTTGTCTATGAATCACACAATAGGCCAAATATCTCATGTAATTGGACTCATTTAAGTAGTTTATTCATAAGTCTTTTGCTTTGGTTACTTTAGATTGCTTGTTTGTTAGTATATTTTGAAGATTTTGATAATGATTATTTTGAGATAGTGTTGTTCTTGTAAGCAGACTTATTATCGATATTCTGTAATTAAAACAATTCGCTACGAGGTTTTTATTTTTTTCATTATTATTATTTTTATTTTTAAAGTTTACCTACAAATGAAAAAAGAAAGATAGAATGGTTGGAAATTATAGGATTGCCGAACATAAACATTGGATCAAATATCACCGTCGTTCCTTCGCTCCATTTTGAAGAGTCAAATTTTAATAGAACGTGGGGCGGCTACTCCGTACGACGCTGTGTGCGGCGTGCGGGGAACGGCGACGCGCTCTCGGTTGGGGCGCGGGGCGCGGAGTGTTTTCGTGTCTCGGTGTCGGCTCGGTGTCCGTTACAATAACATTTAATAATTTTTGGCAAATTAATTTCTAACTTGTGACGTTTTTATTGTTGTGGTAGTTTAATATATGGTTATGTAATATAATATGTTTGTACTGACACTGTCTTTTGCTACATCTTCTGTTATACCATGTTTTGGGCCAATAAACTTACCTATTATTAAAATTATATCTGATTTTATGATTATCGATAATGTTATTACAATTATATAAGTAATTTTATTTATTTCAAAAATTAAATGGAAGTGTTAGATTCACCTAAATCAAAATCACTAATATTAATTCTATACCAATGCAATACAAAACAGCTTAAACTGTTTGGAAACCTTTTAAAAAAATCTAATATCAGTCTTCAGATAGGATATTCCGATATGACAATGAAGATTGATCTACTTTAATTAAACATTTTAATCATACTTTGATTACAGTACAAATTACAAACATAACAAAAAAAGACAGTTTCAACATTCAAGCCATACATTTGCATGTCGATATTGACTTATCGATGATTACGGTACAACACTAAAGAAATCCGCCATTTGTGGTTTAGGTAGGGACGTTTATTCCGTAGACAGGGCAGCTCTTTTCCTTTGTTTTTTTCCATCCTCTAAGGTTCAATGTTATAAGCTTCATGCGCTCTTACATCCATAAAAATCTATGCAATAAGTGCCATCTATAGTTCATTTCACATAGCATGATTCCGGTGACATTTGAGATTTGAAATTTCTAGAGTTGTAGTGATGTAAAATCGAATGGAAAAAATTCGATTTAAATATCTTATCTTGATAAATAAAATAACAAGTATTCAATTATTATGTTGTTAACTTATCAAGAAAACTACACAACAAATTAAAAAAATCAACAACAGTCAAATAAGTCAACAATAAAGCATAAAATCAATAGCAATGAAACGAAATTTTAACAATTACTCCGAAAAAATTACGCAAAGCCCAAAACAAAAGAAAACGATCCGCATACAAGGTGTGTGCACTCGTATTGGCGCTAGATACACAATAGTCGATTTGATTTATCGATTTTATGATGTAATCTCTATGGATAAAATATATCATTTGACGCATCAAGTAATCGGGGAAATTTATTTTTATATTCATCACTTAATTTTCTTTCTACTTTATAAACTGTAATTTTTATTTAAAATTACAGTTGCTGCAAATATTGTTTGTTTTTGGTAAATTATGACAAATTTACATTTTTCTTCTGTAACGTGGTTGGAAGATTGGTTATAAATAGTATGCGTGCGAAGTAAAAAGAGACTATAGTTGATTTTGTTGTTTTCACTAGAAATTAGAATAACATTGATAAAATGCAGTTTGTCAATGTAAAACAAATTATCTAACTGGGTGACGAAATACCTTCATAGATTTCTCATAGATGGCGCTACGGCTGAAAAGTAGTTGATAACCAAATACAAAGATCCGACAAAACACACACATGGAAACAAGCACATGGAAAAATCGTGAGGTCCGCTGGTTCGTTCCGTTGTTTAGTTGGCATAGCGTCTGGCACGGTGTGCTACAAGACGTCGGTCGAATCCGGCCAGATCGAAAGGATTTTTTCTGAGTGTTCGATCTTTGTATTAATAATTATAACAAACTAGTGGAGTAATTTCACATAAATATAATTGAATAACAATTTGCATTACAAATTATCTTGTTTGGACTCACTAAATTGGTCTCAACAAAGCTATCGCTTACGTATGGTGCCTTTTTGGAGTACTCAGTTTTTATAAATGTCAATTTGATTACACAGGCTGGTGCAGGCCTGGCCCAGACCACCGGCTGGCCCGGAACGGTGACAGTCGTAAGTCGGTGGTTCGGCAAAGCAAAGAAGGGCCTCATCTTTGGCATTTGGAACTCGCATACCTCTCTCGGGAATATTCTTGGTGAGTGTTCTTGCCTTATATTTGACAACAATAGATCTAGATCCGAACTACCGCAAAAAATAATTGAAAACATTAAATTTTATATTAACACAAAAAAACACAATGAAAAAAATATATACATTCATTTCGCAGTGCTATTACAATAGTGTTGTAACTCAAAATATGTGAAATTTAATATTATATCATTACTGAACGTAAAATTAAATTCTCTACACGTCAAAAAACCATCGCTAGAATATTGTAAGAAACAATCAAAAGATATCTACTTAACTCAAAACCAAAATAATCCTTCAATTTTTTTTTTTTTATATTTAGGACATTATTTAGTGTCTATAATAAACTATAACATATACATAATTTCAATGATTTTTTGCGGGCAGTGAATAATTCGTTTTCCATCGATTCAGAGAAAGTCCTCTTTTTGAGTTAATACACTATTGTATTATCAGTGCTATATACACATCGTCACTTAAATGCTAAACCGCATCACAAAAAAATTCAAAAATGTTTTTATTGCAAAAATGTGTTTAAAAACGTTCAAACTTTAATACTACACGAAGACACGTACCGATTTGGCAATATAAACAACGGAATTACGCAAATGCCTGCTTGGCATTCTGCATTTCCGTGGCTAACTTTTGACATAAACAGTTTTTTGTGAGTTCTGTCTGTGTTTACAAATTTATAGAGCCTTAAAATACGCATCTTTTGAGTAGAAATGCATGGGTATTTAAAAATAAAGCAATATTAAAATTTTAAAAAATGAGATCGAAAACTTTGATCGCCTCTCCAATAAAAAAGTGAACTAATTTTTTACATGCGGCCGTTTAGCATTTAAGCGACGATATATTTATATATATTTATTATTTATTTATTATTTAAACACTTTATTGTACCACAAAGTAACTTACAAATTTTCAGAAACAATTTAAATATTTGTGTACAAAGGCGAGTTTATCCCATAAAGATTTCTTCCAACTAACCTTTGAAAATCTGAGAGGAAAGTTGGTTTTTGGGGTGGCACTAAAAATAGATATAATTCAGGATCTTTTTTCAAATTCGGTAGCACCCCTTGGACAACATCAACGCCTCCAATTGCTTCCGATGCTTTGCCCCTACCGTCCCCCTTGGACTCTTCAGCGCCCACTGGGGAACGGTAGGGACCACTTTGGGAAACTATGATCTGGATATATATATATTTTTTTATTATATACACATGCTTTTATCGAACCTGGGATCTCCGCGTGGTAGTCGGTCGGCCACCGAGGCAGTTAAAAAATATGAAAGTACTGCCACTTTATTTATATCTGCCGCCAAGCAATGATGTGAGTATTATGCGCTGCAGTTTTTACGGGTGCTGGTGAAATTACATGCTCATGGGACTTGTAAATTTATGTCTCAGAGCGACGGGCATTGTGGCAGTGCAACTGTTATGGATAGGCGTGTCGTATACCACCAGACGCACGACTTGTTCGTACCGTTAACCTATCTCGAGGAATCAACATCATCAAACCCAATTAAACGTCATACGGCTGGGTACCGGTCCCCTCTCAGGCTAGGGTTTAAGCCATAGTCCGCCACGCTGGCTCAACACCTGCTTTAACGTGCAGGTTTAATCACGATTCTTTCCTTCACCGAAAATCTCGTGGTAAATTTTAAATTAAGTATTGTGAAATATCAGTATTAGAAGGCGGAATTAAACTATAAGTCATATCAAGACATATTTTTATTGCTATATTTTTAATCAAAGTCATGCTCCATAGCATCTTAAATACTTTTAGTAAACAAGGGCTTTTATACACAGTTAAACAAATTATAATGTGCTGAGTAATTACAACCTTTTCTATGGTTATAATTAACTATTGATTCATAATTAATTTACTTGTGAAAACAAGAGTTATACTTATAGAAGTTAACATATACACCATAAACTAAGCATTTAAATAATTATACAGTACATCATTTGTGGTTTTACTTCAATCTATATGTAAGCATATACATCCTATAATCACTTTTTTTTTATGCCGCTCATAGGCACACAATTAAAAATATATTTATGTACATTTTATAGCATTTATATTGAGAAATTGTTAGCTATTAAGCATTAGCTAGATTTAAACACATTCGAAAATACAAGAAGCCGCTAGAATAGCACATCGTTCCAGCAGAGCGGCTGCTCAAGTACGTTGCCGTCCGTCAAAAAGCCTCCGCCCATCGTGTATCGGCCTTTTATATTCGTGCACAAACAACTCGTTTTTATTATACGCGCGTGGTGTTTTACTTACTAATTATTGTATATTTGCAGGTTAATTATGACATTGATTACCAAATCATCACTTAAATTACGCAACTATCTAACAACAGGTCAAAATATTAGGTTGCCACGGCTTAATGCACCCATTTGTTCTTTAAAGGTACATTGATGGCAGCAGCATTCGTTGAACGCGACTGGTCTCTTTCGTTTATGTACCCTGCACTCGTGATGGGCATTGCCGGGTGCCTCGTATGGCTGCTGCTTCCACCAGAGCCCAGAGTATTGGGCCTCGTACTGCCCGAGCAACAGGTAAGATGTCTAAAACCGGTACAACGCCATCTATCCCTCAAGTCAAAGCGAAAGATATAGGTAAAATAAATTTTCACAAACATGCTCGGAAATGTTTGTGTTACTTCCAAAAAATGAACACGGAAAGTTTGCCATTTATGGACCTCTAAACTTTTAAATCTACCTATTAGATTAACTATTCAATTCAATTCAATTCAATATTCTTTATTGCACAATAAACAAGCAAAAATACAACACAATCAAAAATACAGTGTACAACAGGCGGCCTTATTGCTAAATAGCAATCTCTGCCAGGCAACCTTGGGGGTGATAGGATAAACTAAAAGTAGTAATAATAATAGAGGGCGCAATAAATATGATATTATTATTAAACATCATAATATATGAATGAAATAAATAATAAATATCTACTAACATATAAATTACATAAATACTTAAATACTAATATAATACATACAAATAAATATATTATCACCACAGAAGAGGAAAATAAAAAAAAAATTTAAAAAAAACCAATAAATAAGACAGCAGAGTAGAATTTATAATTTAAGGTAATGAGCCTTGACTAGGATTTTAAATGACTCAATAGTCTTTGCTCGTCTGATCGACTCAGGCAGGTCATTCCACAGCTTGATGCTCCTAATAGTGAAGGAGTTGGAAAAGTATTTTGAGGAATGGATAGGACAGTTCAGAGAAAGAGTAGAAGAAGAGCGCAAGGTGCGAGGGAGAGTACTGCTATGATATTCAAAACAACTCTTAAGATAAGCAGGAGAAGTTGGATTAAAAAGGACAGTGTACAGTAGGGATAAAACGCGGAGATCTCTACGACGACGAATGGGTAGCCATCTAAGTTTCGAGCGAAAATCGGAGACGTGGTCAAATTTACGTAACCCAAAAATGAACCTAATGCAAAGATTCTGCAGCCGCTCTAGTTTGCCGAGGAGACATTCAGACAAATCAGGATAGCACGCATCTGCATAGTCCAGAATAGGCAAAAGGAGTGATTGTGCTAAACTGATTTTCGTCGGAATGGGAAGATAATAACCTAAACGCCGAAGAGACCCATGCGCAGCAAACACCCTCCTACTTAACTCAGTGACATGAGGCCTCCACGATAAGCACTTATCGAAAATAACCCCAAGGTTCCTAACGGTGGCACTGAGTGGGATTTGAACGCTATCAAACGTGATAGGTGGCAGTAAGGAAGGATTAATACGCGTTAGGAACCAGGGGCTGCCAATGATTATACATTGTGTTTTGGAAGGGTTGACACTGAGACCAAATGATTGACTCCAGGTGAGGATCCTCTCAAGATCTGTATTCGTAGCACAAATTGCGTCACGTAAGTTGGTTAGAGGGGCCTGTGTATATATTTGGAGATCATCTGCATAGAGATGGTAAGAAGAAGAAAGTGAAGAAGTGATGGAGTTAATAAAAATAGAAAATAGAAGAGGGGATAATACGCCGCCCTGCGGTACACCAGCAACAACATTACACCACGAAGAGAATGAATCCTCGCAACGAATGCGCTGTCGCCGCCCATACAGGTAACTGCGGAACCAGCCAGTCACTGCCGGAGAAATGCCAAGAGAATCAAACAGCGCAAGCAACAAGTCGAAATCAACGGTGTTGAAGGCACTGCTGAAGTCCAACAGAGTAAGGACGGTGAGTTGATGATTCTCCATTCCCAGTCGAATGTCATCAGAGATTTTGACAAGAGCAGTAGTCGTACTATGTCCAGAGCGGAAACCGGATTGTAAAGGATTAAAAAGATTGTGACGAGTAAGGAAAAGGGTGAGTTGATGATGGACAAGCTTTTCAAGGACCTTGGAGAGGAAAGGGAGAATGGAAATAGGGCGATATTCAGAAAGGGAAGAGGGATTCGTTTTCTTTGGAAGAGGAATGATGTGGGCATCTTTCCAAGCAGATGGAAAGGTACCAGTGGAAATGGATGTATTAAGGATTTTGGTTATGACAGGAGTGAGGATATCAATGAGCGGAATGATCATATTACGACTAATGCTATCACAACCAACGGCATTCGATGAGATGGAGAGAATGTTCCTCTTGACATCACCAACAGTGAACTGGCTGAGTTCAAAAGAAGGAATATTAGGTAATGGCAATTCAGAAAGAAATTGCAGAGTATCTGACTTAACCTTGTTATCAATAGAAGAAGAAGAGGAGAAGTGAGTATTAAGGAGATTAAGGTCAACGTCAATAGAAGTTTTGCTATTAGGAACTTTTCCAATACCTAAAGATTTCAAAAAACCTCCAGACCTTCGCTGGGTCCCCGTTTTCAACGGCTTTATGTACGTGACGACGTTGTGCATCTCTAATAATAGTGTTACAGCGGTTTCGAACTTGATGATATTTTTCCCGATTGGCATCAGACGGGTCGGCTCTAAACACTATTTTAGCCCGATTTTTGATGCCCATATGCTTGCGGATAACATCATCGAGCCAAGGAGCAGGAAGGTGCTTGACGCGCACAGGACGAACAGGAGCATGGATATCATACAGTTGAATGAGCGAGGAATTAAAAAGTTGCAACTGTTCATCAACTGAATCGGCCTGTTCAATAACTGACCAGTCCATGGCACTGGCATCCCCACGCAGTCTGGTAATGTCAATATTGGCAAAATTTCTTTGCATTAGAATTTTGGGCTTTGGCTTAGGAGGACGAACCTTATACGAAAGGTACACTAGATCGTGGTAGGAAAATGCCTCTGCAGTAAACTGACCATGCTTGTCGACGTGATTAAGTGAGGAAACCACTATCAAATCTAAAAGAGAGGGCAAACAATTAGGAAAGTGATGAGTTGAAGATAGGGGCAAAACATGAAGATTACTAGAATTGACAACAGTATGAAGTTTATTCGTGCGAACATCATTCTTCAAGAGGCAGGTGTTGAAATCCCCCATGATAATGGTGTGGTCATACGATGGTAACAAGTCTTCAAGAAGATTTTCGAAGGAGGGGAAGTAGTCTATTGTAAGAGAAGGACTATAATAAACACCTAGAAGAATTTTTACATGTGAAAGCGTTACCTCAAGAAAAAGATGCTCAGCCGTATTGGGAGGTGGTGGTTGAACAGATTTACTAATAATTTTGAAGGGAATGTAGCTACGCAAGTAAATGGCTACCCCGCCGTGAGATGAACTTAATCGATCATTGCGAATTAAGTGGAAACCAGGTAAGGAGTAAGAAGTAGAAGAGAGACAAGAATTTAGAAAAGATTCAGAAACAAGGATAGCGTGAATATTACTTACATCAAAAGAGGCAAGTAGGTTAGGATAATGAGCCGGAATGCTCTGTGCGTTGATGTGAGCAACATTAAAATTACGTGGCACATCAGAAAAGATGGATTCCAAATTTTGATGTAAGGAAGGGGGTAAGCTGTGAAAGCTGTCCTCGTCTGACGAGCAAGAGACAAAATAATCACTATTATTGCATAACGAGATATCCATGGTGTAATAAATAAATAATAATAATATACTAAATTTATAATATAAGTAGTAATAAGTACTAAAATCGACAGTTTAATCTGTAACCCGCCAGCAGCCAAGAATAAAACAATGAGTGAAATAAACAATAAAATATGTAACAAAAATTAAAGCACAGTTCAATCAAAGAATAAGAAAAAAAAACACAAAACGGAACGCAACAAACATACAATGTTGAGAACAAAATAACACACTGAACGCATCGTTAAGAGAGAAAAAAAAAAGCAGTTTTTGTGACAAAAATAGGGACATAATGGTAAAAATAGTAAGAGACAACATTACTCTCGAATACACTTTCTAAGTTATGGTTTTGACGTATCTAAACTTATTTAATCAATTAATTGGTACAAAAAAAAAAAACTGTCATATGACAGAAGTATACCAAACTTAATGATTTTGTTCAAACAAGTGGTTAGACATGTAATTTTATAATACGAAAGTAAGAAAGAAGGTACTACTAGTTTGTGAAAGGTACCGATATGAAATTTAGAAAAAGAGCGTCATACCCGACACACCGGCGATCGGCAGATACATAAAAATAGAAATATAGCCTTTTTAACACAGGAAATTTGCAAACACAAATCATAAACGTAAGCTACACACAAAAGAAAGCGAACACACTTATTTTCTTGCAAGTTCCCGCCGTGGTCTAGGCCTAGAGCCTCCAGCTGGGTTCGCCGCCACCTTGACTCCACCAACTGGTTTGCTTTGTTGCAACTCCACAGTCCGAGCATGATTTGCGGCCGGAATACGCTCAAGGTCGTCAAGAGACGTAATAGAGTGTCGCTTACCATCATCGCCTAGGGCCACAATGCGGCCACCGCTGGTCCAGCACTTGGAAATGCCCA